CCCAAAGCATTTAGGCCAGCAATCAGGCAGGCAATCAGGCAGGCAATCAGGCAAAACAACCAAGGCACGAGGCAGGCCAAAAGAAAGGAGGAAAAACAGGGAAGCAAGGCAGGGGTGCGCACCCGACAGCGTGGTTGCCGCCATCTCCCGCACCTCCAGCTTGGCGTCCGCCAGCATGGCGCACACCATGGCCTGCAGGGGGTGGGTGGGTGGGTGGGGTGGGTGGGTTTAGGGTGCTCGCAAGGGAGGGTTGCGGCACGGCAGGTGTGCATGGTGTAAGCGAGGGCTAGGGAGAAAGCAGGCGTGCAGGGGAGGATTATAGCAGCAGCGGGCGTGCAGGGGCAGCACTCGGCGCGGGGTCAACTGCCAGCTGGCGCCAGCTGGCGGCAGCTGGCGCCAGGACCACCAGCTGGCACGCAGCAGTGGCACCCCACCTGCACCCGGGCGGTGCCCTCTGGTCCCAGGATGAAAGTGTGCCTGCAGAGGCGGGCAGGTGGAGGCAGGGGGGAGAGGGTGGTGTGCGGTGGGCAGGGAGGAGTGATGTCATGTCAACAGGCCAGCAAGCCACAGGGAGCAGCGACAAGCTGGCTCAAGCTGGGAGGCGCAGAGCTGGCTGGGAGGCTGGGAGAGCGGAGCCGCCATCGCCAGCAGCCACCACCAGCAGCAGCAACCACGCAGCAGCAAGCGCCCTGCAGCCGCCCCGCCGCACCTGAACCAGAAGTACTGGGCGAAGAGCAGGGCCGAGCCGCGCTCGGGCCACAGCTCGGCGGTGGAGGCCTGCACGGGTGGCGGCGGCGGTGGGGGTGAAGCGGGGTGGCGGTGGAGCGGTGAGAGCCTTGAGGCTTGGCGTGCGGGCTCCCCACAGCAAGAATAAGGCAGCCGAGCAGCCCGGCAGGACCCACAGCACACGTCCGCCCCATGCACCTCCGCTCCTCCCCGACACATCAGCATGCCAGCCCAGCACCCAGCTCGGCAGCATGTCGTCTCGGCAGCACCCAGCTCAGCACCCAGCTCGCAAGCAACCAGCTGGGCAACACCCATCTCGGCAGCACCCAGCTCTGCAGCACCCAGCTCAGCACCCAGCTGAGTATTTTTTGTTTCTTTCTGTTCCTTTGCAGCACCCACCCCACCCACCTGCTCCAGCGTAGTCAGCACCGGCCCCACCAGGTGGCCCGGCAGGGGCAGGTACTTGAAGCAGACCAGCGCCTTGCGCGCCTCCATCGCCACAAACTGGAGCTCGGAGGGGATGACCTCCTGCGGTGCGGTACGGGCGGTACGTGCGGCAGCACGCGCAGCAAGCGGTGAGCGGTACGAGCGGGCAAGTGGAGCGGCAGGGAAGCCAGGCCGAGCGGCAGGGGTGGTGGAACGGGGTGGGGAGGAAGCCGGCGGCAGCATGCAGGGCGAGGCTGCATGCATGCCAGTTGCGGGCGGCGCCTTGCGGGCGGTGCCATGCGGGGGGTGCCGTGGGCAGGCGTGCGCGGGCGGGCGCGTGCCTGCAGGCGCAGCAGGCTGCGCAGCATGCGGGCCAGCCAGGGCGCCAGGCCGGGCCCCTCGCCGCCGCTCAGCGCCTGCACCATCATCTGCACTGTGAAGCTGATGTGTGCCACGGCTGCAGGCAGGGGCCAGGGCAGGGTAGGGGAAGGGGAGGGGAGTGGAGGGAAGGGATAAGGTGGCAGGCTGGCGTGTCGGGCGTGGTGGGCGTGTGCACGAGCATGGGTGAGCTTGGGTGGGTGTGAGGCGGCGAGCCGCGATTCTTCCAGACAGGAGAGAGGCGAGGGATGGTCGTGCGAGGGAGCGGCAGGGGCTCCGGTGAAGCAGCCCAGCCGGCCAGCCAGCCAGCCAGCAAGTCAACCGGCCAGCCAGCCAGGCAGGCGCCCCACCTGCTTGGTACTCAGGGCTGCCCTTCACCGCAAGCTCGCCGCCGCCGGCCGCCGCCGCCGCCGCCGCCGCCGCCTCGGCCTCGCCGGGCCCCTCCAGCAGCACAGCCTCGTCCTCGCTCATCAGCGATGCAGCCCCTTCGTGCGCCCCCTCCTCCTCCTCTTCCTCCTCGCCGCTGCCGCCACCCAGCGCCGCCTCAGGCATCTCCTCCTCGACCGCCGCCACGGCGCCGGGACCTGCCCCGCCGCCGCCGGTCCCGGCCGCCGCCGCCGCCGCCACGGCGGCGGCGCCCACCGCAGCCGCCAGCCCGGCGCCGTCCAGCGCGCCGCCGCCGGCCGGGGCGCCAGCAGGGGCTGCCGCTGCCGGGGGAGGGGTGGCGGCGCCGCTGCAGCCGCCGGGGGTGCCCCTCACGCCGGCCTCCCCCGAGCGAAGCGCCTGGAACATGCGGTCAACGCTGCGGTCAAACTGCGGCAGAGGAAGAAAGGAGGAACAGCGCAGCACCCAGCTAGGTGTTGGGGCCGAGGCAGGGCAGGCAAGGTGCAGGCCTGGCCGGCCTGGCCTCCCACGCTTGCCGTGCGGCAGCAGCAGCAGGCCAGGGCAGGGCAGGCAGGCATATACAAAATTTCCTGGCCCGGCCCGGCCCCGGCCCAGCGCAGCCCATCCCCCACTCCTCCCTCCCGCTCGCCTGCGCCACCACGCCATCCAGGTAAGCCACAGCGGCGCGGCGCAGGGAGGCGGCGCTGCAGGACACAAGCAGCACGGCATCCTCGGCGGCGCCGCCTGCAGGGCAAGGGGTGGGCAGGCAGGCAACAGGCGCAGGGGTAGCGTTGACCAGGTTGACCAGGTTTGACCCGCCGCTCAGAAGGGAAGAAAGGGCGGGCTGGCGGGGCGAAGTCGCTCGTTGCGGCGCGGCAGGGAAGCAGGCGCGACAGGCTGAGCGCGTTCCGATGCACGCCGCCAGGCTATAGACGTCATACGCAGGTGCAGCGTGCAGCGGCAACCGCAGCGGCGGCTCAGCCTGTTTTTTCCGCAGGCGCTTTGGGCACCGGCCGCCGCCACCTGGCTGCTGCTTCCTGCTGCAGAGCCAAGGTTCTTTCCAGCCCCAGGCCCGGCCCTCTGCTCACCCGCTGGCAACGCCTCCAGCGACGCGCAGCTGCCGCCACCGCTGGCCGCATCCACAACCACCAGCTCCGCGTCGCTGCTGGCGGTGCCGTTGCCGTTCCCAGTGCCGCTCCCGCCGCCTCCTCTGCCGCCGGCGGCCTCCTCTGCCGCCGCAGCGCCGCCCGCGGGCTGCTCCGCTTCCAGGATGGAACAGGGCACAAACGCAGCCAGCTGGGCCGCCGCCAGCCGAACATTCTCGCCGGCCTGCTCGGGCAGGGAGGGGAGCTCATGCAGCAGGCGGGCCTGCAGGCAAGGGGGTGGGGGAAGAGGCGGGGGCGCTGATTAAGCGTTGAGGACATTAGGGGACGGGGGTGCAAGCAAGGAGGTACCACTGTTTTGGCTCGGCGCCCTCTGTCAAACCAGTGCAGCACAGAGGCAGTGCGTTGGTTGTGCAGGGCGGTCAAGCAAGCAGGAGTGTGCGGCCTTGGCTTGGCTCCGGTCAAAGCAGTGGAGTACAAGCATCGCGGTACAACGCCGCTCTCCCAGGCAGGCCCGCCGCCGCGCGCCGAGCGCCGCCCAAGAGGGACTGCCAAGCGGCCGGCGCGCGGGCGCGGGCACGGCCGCACCCGCCTGCCGGCCACTGCAAGTCCCGGCCTAGGGCGGGGCCGCGCGCGGCGCAGGCAGCCCAGCCACAGCCAACAGCAAGCAGAGCAAGCGGCACCCCCAGGCCAGCCACCGCCACCGCCCGACCCTGCAGTGTTGACCATTGACCAAAGCAGCTGCGCCCCGCACGCACTGCACACCCTGTGCCAACCGCCGCCGCAGCAGCCGCAGGCTGCCGTGCGGGCCCGGCGGTGCAGAAAGCTGGGTGCCTGGGGCCCCTCCCCGGTGCCACCAGAGGAAACAGCGCTGCAACGGCCGGCAAGCGGAGCGGCGGCGGAAAATCGCCCAGCACCCACGTGCCGACTGGAGGCAGGGCTGTTCATCCGGCCGCACCAAGGGGAGAGCGAGAGGCACCCACTTCCTGCCGCGCAGGGCGGCATGCGAGGTGGCCTGGGCCTGGGCTGCAGCCGCGGCGAGGCGGCGTGGCTGCGCCACACGAGCAGACCCAGCCCTTGAGCCGCGGCAAGCAAGCTGAGGAGCGGGGCTGTTGGCGGGGCCGACAGCGGGGCAGGGCAGCGCGCGGCGTGAGGCAGCCGGGCGGCAGCCAGGCGGGCCGGTGTGCGGCGCTGGTGAGGTGGAGGCGGGCCGGCGGGAGCGGCGGCCGCCAGCGGCGGGCAGCCGGCGCTCCTGCTGCCGCTTTCGTCCACGCCAGCGGCCCACAGGCACGCAGGCTGCCTCCAGGCACCGACACGCCCTGGGGAGCGGCATGGCCCACCAAAAAACGAAACAAAACGACGATCCAGCACCCACATTGACCCCCGGCCCCCGCAAGCCGGCAGCACCCAGCCCAGCCCGACAGCCAACCCAGCCCCCAGCGGCGGCCACGGCGGCAACAGAGGGCGTTGTGGGGCACGGGCGCAGCCGCCTGCCAGCCACTGCTATAGCAAATCCCAGCTTGCGGCAGCAGAGGGCGGCGCGTGGCGCGGGCAGGGCCCCAAACCCAGCCGCCCACCTGCAGCCTGCGGAGGAGGGTAGGCGGGTGGGCGGTACCGGTGGCGGTTGCAACCTCCGCCGCCACCAGCAGCAGCGAGGAGAGGCGCTTGTAGACTTGGGCCGAGGTGGCGCCTGCAGCGGTGGTGCCAGGTCAGCAGCGCGCGCCACGTCAGCACCAGGCCCGGCGCAAGCGCACGTGGCGCATGGCGCAGGAGGCCGCTCAGCCGGAAGCGTGGAGGCCAGGCGGCGGCAGCAGCGGAGCAAGCGGCGGAAGAGCAGGTGCGGGAGGAGCGGGGCGGGCAGCCGGCAAAGCCCTGCTCGGCACGCTGCGCAGCACGCTGTGCCTGCTGTGCTGCCTGCCGTGCTGCTCACCCTCTGGCAGCGGCTCCGCCACCGAGTCCAGCAGCAGCTGCAGGGGCGAGGGCTGCGCCTGGTCAGCGAAAGAAATGAATGGAAAGCAAGCATTGGAAAGCAAGCAAGGGGGCGGGCTCACCGGGTAGCTGTGGGTGGCGAAGCGCACGCCCTGCTGCACCAGCTGCACCGCCAGCGGCGGCACGTAGTGCAGCGGCG